TTTTATCTTATATTCATTTCAAGATAAAGCGTTTTCAAGATTTCAAGTAGTTTTCTTCAAAGTAGATTTATGTAAAAAGAAGGGAAGCGAAGTTAGCCGGTTCAAAGTGGTAAAGCTTAGCGCATTTGGTTTTACTGAATCTTGACGACATCAAGACCTTAATATTAGTGGCCTGGTTACTCCCAGCAGCTTTGGCAGATGATTTTTTTATAAGACACTACGAGTTTTAATCGTGGTTGCTGTAATTTTTTTTTTAAGCTGAATGCACTGTAATGGGGGTGCCGTCTGTTACAACAAATCTGTCAGGATTTGGATGTTTCATTCAAGAGCAGGTACAAGATCCACAGTCCTATGGTATTTTTGTTGTTGATCGACGATTCAAAGGTCCAGATGAATCAATTGATGAGCTTGCCAAAACTCTTTACAACTTTGTGTAAGCCTAAATGTTTATAGCGTTTTATTTTTGCAATTTTCTCCCGCAGCAATGCAAGACATACTGAATGTATTCAGACATTATGGAATTTCGCATCTGATTTAGAAGTAAGTAAATTTGTGGTGCTTCCCAGTAACACCGTTAAGATGGGGCTATGCACCACTGTCCGGGCGATCTCATTAATTCTGGTACTTTTAAGTCAGTGGTTATGTAATTTCTTTGTCAGGTTGCTTTCACGTCGCCAACGTGTCATTATGCGAAATCGAACTGAGCGACTCAGTGAACTTCTGGACTGGAAAACTCTCGGAACGGTAAGAACTCTCCAAAAACGTTGCCTCGCTAGTGTGGCCAGATTCTGGAAGAAAGGGTGTGTATTACCTTGTCTTAGTTAGCTCTTCAGTGGCATTCTTTAATTCAGGCATTGTCTTCCTTTACTATAAAATTTTTGAGCCGGTCCGGTTATCTTTTGCCCTGATGTGCCATCTTTGGTTCCTCGCTGCTTTATTTTGCATTATAACAACTTACAATTATCGGATATTTGAAAAATTAGCAACAATAGAACTTGTATTTGCTTTTTTTAATTGCAAAGTTTCAGTTTTATCGGGAAGCGAGACGACGTGCATTACATGTGACCCATCCAAACTTGGTACAGGTAATCGAAGAAACGCTGAAAAAAATGCCACGTCCAACGTCAGCACCTTCAACACCGACAACAAGTCGTTCGGGATCACCCCATGATACTGATGAATCAGATACGGAAGAGCAGGAAGCGTTTGAAGCGAAAGCATGGGCTGAATCAAATTAGGAATTGCTTTGTAGGTTTAAATTTTTAAGTGCGGTTAGCTTTTCCCTTGAAATTACGCGGCAGTCGTGCCTTGAGAAACCCATTAAATATGTGGCTAGATTTCACTATTTCATTTTTATATGCTTTTGTTGTGCAGTTTTATAATGCTACTACAGCGAGCAAAAACGCATACTGTCAAGAGCTTGGAGGTGTGTTTTTTGTTTGTTTGTATATATACATATATATGAACTTTGTCGGCCACTTTTAACTCAGCAGTCAGAGAAGCTAGGAAACCGAAACTTTTGAGGCATCTTCCCACCCAAGTGGGGACCTAATGCTTTGAAATTATCGTTCGGTTATCATCTACGTGCGCTTGGGTATCACATGCAGATGCCAAAAAGAAATATGTAAATTTTCTGGCCAGATGCAACTTCGAAAGCCAGCCAACGTAGGAAACTGAAACTTTTGCAGAGATTTTTTTGCTCCTCATATGTAAGCTAAAGATTTCATATTCAGCTGTATCGTATGCCTACACCATGCAAACTGATACGTCAAAGTCCGCCGTTGACATTTTGCTTAATTCGAAAACTTTCCTAAAAGGATAACTAAAATTGCGCAAGAATATTTGTAGTCGCGAACCATACACCTAAATTGAGTTTTGGAATGCACCTGTGTTGAGTGTTCGAATATATTTGTAACAAAGTGGCGATTTTGAGAACCAATCAAGCTAGGAAGTCGAAATTTTACAAGGATATTCTACGCCTATGAGTGACCTTAAAGTTTTAAATTGACTTCTTAGCAAGCTTGGGTTTCGCTTAGCGCACAAATAGATTTTTAACTTTGGCACGATTTATTTTAGATTAAGCAAGGGGCCGAAATTTTGTGAGAATGTTCAGAATCTATGTGAAAGTCTCAAAGCGTAAAAATCAAGTTTCATATAGCCTTCTAAGTCTCTCACATGGATACGGCGAACTTTAGCGACATAATGTAAAGTTTACTGTAACGATAGATGCTTGAGGTTTAGATTTCGTGTAGGTCATACAAGCCGACACACCATTTCCTCTATATGTAAAAAAGGCAAAAATATTATCCACTTGAGTCCACGTGTTGAACTGGAATGCAACAATTATTCATACTGTTGATGATCTGCTTCAAGAATCGAACAAAAACGCATGTTCGCATCGGCAAGCCTAGTACGCC